CACACCAAGATCACTGAACTCTAGCCTGGGCGACAGAGTGTACCCCATCTCAAAAAAACCATCAATAACAACAGCAAAAGTCACTGACTTGAGACCCAGGAAAGACCAATGTTTCAATTCAAGTCTGAAGGACAGAAAGAAAACGATGTCCCGGCTTGCAGGTTGTCAGACAGGAGGCGTTCCCTCTTAGCCTTTTTGTTCCATTCAGACCTTCAACTGATTGGAAGGGGCTCATCCACATTAGGAAGGGCAGTCAGTCTCACTCAGTCTATTGACGATAATGTTCATCTGACCCAGATACACCCTTGCAGACACGCCCAGAATAATGTTCGAGCAAATGTCTGGGCACCCTGTGGCCCACTCAAGTGGACACATAAAATTAACCATCCCAGGTCCTTTCCAATTAGTCACTGACATCTGTTCTTTTCTGGAGAGTTGATTTCTATCCTGGCAGGAAAGAGGCACACAGAAAAGAGGCTTATTGAAGGGAACTGAATGAGGGGACTGGTCAGAAAAGTCAGCACAGGATGAAGGGAACTTAAGATTGAAGGATGGTGATGCTTCCAAGGACATGCAACTGTAGGAAGATGCTACCACCTGTGGATTGAGGAGGCATGCAAAGGAGGTGGACTAGGCACTCACTGTCCAAAGCACTTAACACATTAACCTTCAAAAAAAGTTTTATTGGAATATAATTACATACCATACAATTCACCAATTTAAGGTGTACACTTACAGTCTTGCAACTATCATCACAGTCTATTTTAGAGCATTTTCATTGCCCCAAAGGTAAATCTTGCACCCTTTGCCATTGGCCTCTAATGCCCCCATTTCCCCAGCCCTAGGCACTCACTGATCTACTTTCTTTCTTTGTTTATTTCTTTTTTTTTTTTTTTTTTTTTTTTTTTTTTTTTAAGATGGAGTCTCACTCTGTCTTCCAGGATGGAATGCAGGGTCACGATCTCAGCTCACTACATCCTGCGCCTCCCGGGTTCAAGCGATTCTCGTGCCTCAGCCTCCCGAATAGCTGGGATTACAGGCATGTGCCACCACACCTGGCTGATTTTTAAATTTTTAGTAGAGATGCTGCTTCTCCATGTTGGCCAGGCTGGTCTCAAACTCCTGACCTCAGCTGATCTGCCCACCTCAACCTCCCAAAATGCTGGGATTACAGGCGTGAGCCACTGCGCCCAGCCTACTTTCTCTGTAGATTCGCCTATGCCGGCATTCTAGGTAAATGGAATCACGCAATAGGTGGTGTTTTGTGACTGGTTTCCTTCACTTAGCATTTGTTTTCAAGGTTCAGCCATGACAACCCAGGTATTCTCATTTTACAACTAAGAACATTAGAGGTTTCGTAACACTTGGTAAGTGGTAAGCAAGGATACCTCTCCCATCCCCGCCACTGGCGGTGGAGCCCATTACACTATGCTGCCTCTGGGTCCCCATGGAGCTGTCACCCAGATCTTCACCCACCCTCAAGACCAGCGCTATGTAAATGTCCCCCACTGGGTTCCGTCTTCCTGTCTCCAGGCCATCCTGACCCCACTGCCTAATTGATATCCACTCTCAAGTCCTGACTACATCTTGACCTCCAGGGCTCAGGGGACATCAGGCCTTTTGATCTGCCCAACACCTGTTCTCTCTTCTGGAACAGGACTCTGGCTTCCTCTGTGGGAACCACCCCTACCCCACTCTCAGCCCGCAGGGTCCGGGTGGAGTTTTTCCCACGCCACCTGCTGCGGGAGCAACCATGTGACCAGGCCTGGCCAATGAGAGCTCCACAGGCCTCCCCAGTCCACAGTGATTGGGGAAAAGTAAGGGAGCGATGGGGAAGGGGTGTGGTTGTGGATTCCGCAGCTTCCCTGTGTTCTGCAGAAGCAAGAGGAAGAGACTGTCATCTTTCTTGTGGATGGAGCGGTGTTAGGATGTCCTATATAGAAGCGCTATGGCCATTTTGCTACCATAGGTGAGGAGGACCACAGGGGAGTGTGTGTGGGGTGGGGGGGAGGGTCATTGTGAACCTAGTATCAACACTGCGGAAAGCAGTGAGGAGACAGAAAGCGAAAGAAAAGTCAAATGTTTGGTTTCAGTTCCTGGATCAAGCAATACCTGGAGAAAGAGGTCTCTGGGTCCCTGATTTAGCAGAGCTAATAACTTCCTATTGGAAGCAAAGGTGGCTCACGTCTGTAATCCCAGCCCTTAGGAAGGCTGAGGCGAGCAGATCACTTTGGGCCAGGAGTTTAAGACCAGCCTGGGCAACATGGGGAAACCTCATCTCTACTAAAATACAAAGATCAGCCAGGCATGGTGGTGCACACCTGTAATACCAGCTACTTGGGAGGCTGTGGCAGGAGAATCGCTTGAACCCGGAAGGCAGAGGTTGCAGTGAGCTGTGATGGTGCCGCTGTACTCCAAGGAAGCAAAAGTGAAATGTTTTCTGTTGCTTCTAAATGATAAAAGGGGGAAATATGAATTTCGTGTTCTAAAATTCTTTTATTCCTCAGCACTTAGAATAATGTGTGCCCTTAAAGCAGCCAAATGAATAACTTCAATAATTTTTTTTAAATGCCCACGTGGTCTTATTTAAATATACACACCTACACAGAGCATCAGCAAGTAAGTGCAACAGGTGTCATTTCTGTGCAGTTTTTTTTTTTTTTTTAAATTGTTGCAATAAAGCCACTTGGAAATTAGGCATGGAAAATACCATACAGAGGCTGCCGCCCCAGCAGAACCGGAAGTATGGGTGTTTGTCATTGTTTCCACCTGGCAAAGACAGCTTGGTCTGAAACATGTTTCCAGCTGTCACAGCACTGAATAAGTTACAGAAAATTGGAACAACAGGTCACATCTTAGCAGAAAACGGTGCAGGAAAAGTGGGACAGAATGGATATCCTGAATCAGCCCAGGCAAGTAGGATGTAAAGCGTGGGAAGTACATCCAAGCAGAGGCAGATTTAGGATGAATGCTTTTGTGGAATTAAACTATTGCTTCTTTTTAAAAAGATTATTATTAATATTATTATTATTTTTTAAGATGGAGTCACCCAGGCTGGAGTGCAGTGGCATGATCTCGACTCACTGCAACCTCCACCTCCCGGGTTCAAACGATTCTCCTGCCTCAGCCTCCTAAGTAGCTGAAATTACAGGCACCCACCACCACACCTGGCTAATTTTTGTATTTTTAGTAGAGATGGGGTTTCTCCAACTTGGTCAGGCTGGTCTCGAACTCCTGACTTCAAGTGATCCACCCGCCTTGGCCTCCCAAAGTGCTGGGATTACAGGCGTGAGCCACCGCGCCTGGTCAAATTTATTATTATTGAGACAGGGTCTCCCTGTGTTGCCCAACCTGGTCTCAAACTCCTGAGCTCTAGTGATCTGCCTGCCTCAGCGTCCCAAAGTGCTGGAAATCGCAGCCGGCTTAAACCATTGCTTCTTAACCAGGGCTACACATCAGAGGTCCTGTGTGAGTTTTTATAATATGTTCATCCCTTAGGCCCAGCCCCATAGCTTCTGCTTCAGTAGGACTGGATAGAGCAGGAGCATCTGTAGATTTATTTTTTTTTTTCCAGATCTCGAGTTTATTCTGACAGGCGTGCCCAGTTAAAAATCCAGGATTAAACATTGGGAAATTCTGTCTAATTTTGGAAATATAATTGGAATTTCTTTAAGTGGAGGGAAGAAAGTATCATAAAGAGAAATTCTCAAAAAAACAAAACAAAACGCTTTGGGAGGCTGAGGCAGGATCACTTGAGGTCGGGAGTTTGAGACCAGCCTGGGCAACACAGTGAGACCTCATCACTAAAAATAAAAATAAAAATTAGATGGGTATGGTGGCTCACACCTGTAACCCCAGCACATTAGGTGGCTGAGGAAGGAGAATCGCTTGAATCTAGGAGTTCAAGGCTGCAGTGAGATATGGTTAGCCTGGGCGACAGAGCAAGACCCTGTCTCTTAAAAAATAAATAAATAAATCAGTGCCGCCCCTTGGATGTTGATACCTGAAGCTGGTTTCTCCACGTGGCTCCACTAGATAGAGACTAATCGTCCCCGTTTTCCTGTTTCCCTTTTCTGAAAAAGAAAAATGTATCCACCGAGATAGGACACCCGAGACGCGTGGACAGCGCAGACTGGAGCAGCCAGCCGAGCCCTCCGCCTCTGGCCATTCACACACGTGACATCAGTTTCCGTTCAACAGCGGAGATCGCGGGGCGGGATGATGGTGGTCAGGTTATCTTATGTATCATACATAACGCGCAGCACTCCCCCGGCTCTCCTGCCGGGCGTTGTCCAGCCGACCTTGCAGCAGAGCCTCGCAGGGCTCGCAGCGTGGGGCGCGGGCGCCCTCTGCCGGACCCAGGCGAGCGCCGCGGGCCCGAGACCTTCCTTGCCCTTGGTGCGCCACGGAGCCGATCTCTCTACGCTATCCAGGATGAAAGGACCTGTAGTGTTCGCGCTCAGCCCCGCGGGGCTGCCGTTTCAGACGCAGGAGGGAGAGGATGCACGTCCTGGGGGCGAGAGGCGCCTTTTAAAGCTCTGAACACGTGAGGTGAGAAAGCGCTCTGCGCCCCGGGATGTTTCTCGGGAACCCGCAGCAGACAGACATGAGCGGTATTGAGGCGGAAGCTCCACTTTGAAAGGTGCCTTTGGTTTCCCTGAGTTGGGAAACGTGTTTTCTTGGCCTCAAGCCACCTGGCTCAAGGGCTCTTAAGGAGGACCTTAATGAGGGTCTGGTGTTTTTATCAAATTATCAGAGGTATGGGATCTCCCAAAGGGTTAAAACCTTGAGCTCGTACTTCCTTCCCAGGGGTCCCTCCTTCTGAAAGATGGTCCTCCTAAGCGGTAGGGGCCCCGAAAATCCTGTGTTAGAAGTAACCCAGACCGGGCGTGGTGGCTCACGCCCATAATCCCAACTACTTGGGAGGCTGAGGCAGGAGGATCGCTTGAGCTTGGAAGTTTGAGGCTGCAGTAAGCAATGATCACCCCACTGCCCACCAGCCTGGACGATAGAAGGAGACCCTGTCTCAGGAGAAAAAAAAAAAAGAAGAAGAAAAAAGGCAACCCAGATGTCCACCAAGAGGCAAAAAGAGAAGGTAAGCGGAGGAACAGTGGCTTAGTGGTTAAGTTTACAGCCTCTGGAACCAGGCCAAGGAGATTCAAGCACAGGCCTGGGCTGGGGTAGGAGCTGGGTCAGGTCAGCAGTGGTTGCCCTGGAAGAGTATGGCAGCCAATTAAAAAACGAGATAGGGCTCTATGAATTGACTTGGAAAGATGGCCAGTGTAGGTCACCGAGTGAAATGCACAAATCGCAGATCAAATGCATAATATTCCATCTGGGGAACAATACAAACCCAAACATGTACGTGGATAAAAGATTTCTAAAAACCATCCAGAAAGATATACATTGAATTATAAATAGTGGTTGCTTCTAGGGAACGTTTGGAAGAAGAGCCTTTTTTTCTTTTTCTCTTTTTTCTACTTATATGCAGTTTATATTTGATTTTGAGGCAAGTATTACTTTTGGAGGTGGAAAAAAAGAAAAAAAAATGCACTCTGTTAGTGGTAGGTTGCTACTAGCTTATCTCAAAGGAAGGAAGTTGGTAACAGAGTTTGCTATCAATCAACAGTCTGCAGGGAGATTTACTTGTCACTGAAAATACCCTTTAGCACTGCTGGAATAATTTCCTATGTGTGTACATGCATTATTTATTACAAAAGAAAAGTTTTAATGTTTTAAAAACAGGGCAATTTAACCTTGTCTTTAGTCCAACAAAAATGTATTGCATGTCAGGCACTCCACTAAGCCTTGAAGACATGGAAACCACCAAATTGGTGTCTGCCTTCCAGGAGCTTATGGTCTGGCTGAGTGTGCCTCACACTTTAATGTGCTTCCACATCACCTGGAGCTGTTGTATTGGTTATCTGTTGCTGCGTAACAAATGACCCCAACACTCAGCAGCTGGAAACAACAAACATTTATCATCTCAAATAGTTGCTGAGGGTCTATCTAATCACTCCTGAGTGATTCAGGAGTGACTTAGCTGGTTGATTCTGGCTTGGGGTCGCTCATGAGGTTGGAGTCAACATGTTGGGGGCTGCAGTCATCTGAAGGCTGAATTTGATTCACTTGCAAGGCCAAAGGATTCACTTGCGAGATGGTGTACTCCCATGGCTATTGGCAGGAGGCCTCAGTTCTTGGCCATGTGAGCAGCTCCACAGATTAAGTGCTTTGAGTGTCCTCATGACATGACAGCTAGGTTCCCCCACAGTGAGTAATCCTAGGGGGAAAGGTGGAAGCTGCAGTGTCTTTTTTTAAAAACAACAACAACAACAACAAAAACAAAAACAAAAACAAAAAAACAGATTCTGGCTCTGTCATCCAGGCTAGAGTACAGTGATATGATCATAGCTTAGTGCGGCCTCTAACTCCTGGGCTCAAATGACCCTCCCACCTCAGCCTCCCAAGTAGCTAAGACTGCAGATACATGCCACCATGCGCAGCTAATATTTTATTTTATTTTATTTTATTTTTATTTTATTTTTGTAGAAATAGGGTTTTGCTATATCGCCCACAGTGGTCTTGAACTCCTGGCCTCAAGCAAACCTCTTGCCTTGGCCTCTTGAAGTGCTGGGATTACACGTGTAAGCCACACACGCCCAACCTTTACAGTGTCTTTTATGATCTAACTTTGGACGTCACGCTTCATTTCCACCATGTTCTGTTAGAAACAAGTCACTGAGTACAGCCCACAAACAAGGCAAGGGGAAGCAAGCTCCACTGCACATAGGTGTATCAAGGAATTTGTGGACATACTTTAAAACCACCACATCTTTCTCAAATGCAAATTCTGTTTGAGTAGGTCTGGAGAGACTCCCAAATTCTGCATTTCTAACATGCTCCCATGTGATACCACTGCTGTTGGTCCATAGACCACACTTTGAATAATGAGGGAATCAAAGACTTGCAAAGACTTACAGTTCAGATCGCCTCTTTGGAACTGCAGTACTTGCGAGAATAATATCCTTTCTCATCCTGCCATCATCTTTGGATAGTGTCCAATTTTAAAATCACATTTTCCCTGAAAGGTCAGATCAGGAAAGTAAGAGAAAGACAAGATTACCTTGTTAATACACAAGGACAAGCTGTAATGGAATTAAAAACAATCAAAGGGAGATTCAAAAAACCTCTCTGGCCTTGTTCTGGAAGCTCTCAGAAGCATAAAACATCGGCCATCAATTCTGAAGGGGAAGCTAAACAAACAGCCTGGGTTTTTAATAAGAATTGTACAAAGTACTTTATGGGACTAAGACTCCCAGCTGCAGTACTTACAAAATTAGCTTTGATATGGGAGGGCAAGAAATGGCACCCAAGTCTCAGAACATGAAAACTTCTTCATGCTCTGCTGGCTTGAAAGGTAGTAAATATAAAAAATCAGTTTCTCATTTAACAGCCAGGACTAAAATTTGCATAAAACTAAGTAGCCTAAAGAAACAAACAAAAAAACTAAACTAAATCACCTGTATTTTTCCTATCGCTTTGGTCCGTGCTACAGTTAGGATGTGATTTGTCCCAACCAAAACTCATGTTGAAATTTGATCTGCAATGTGGCAGTGTTGGGAGGTGTTTGGATGATGGAGGTGGATCCCTCATGAACAGATGAATGCCCTCCTGCTGGACGAGTGAGTTCTCATTTTCTGGGGAATGGGTTAATTCCCAAGAAAGTGTGTTGTTAAAAAGTGTCTGGCCTCCTCAGTTTGACTCTTTTGCATCCTGTCTAACCATGCAATCTCTTTGACATGCCCACTACCCTTCTACTTTCCACCATGGGTGGAAGCAGTGTGAGGCCTTCATCAGATACAGCTGCCCAATCCTGGACTTCCCAGCCACCAGAATTGTGAGATAAATAAATCTCTTTATAAATTACCAGTCTCGGGTATTTTGTTATAGCAACACAAAACAGGTAAGACAATTTACATGCCATATAATTCACAATTTTAACATGTATGATCCAGTAAATTTAAGTATAGATTGTGCAACTATCACCACTGATTCTAGAACATTTTTACCACATGAAAAAACTCTGTATCCATTAGGAGTTACTCCCTATTTCTCCCCATCCCCGCCCCTCCAGCCCTAGATGACCACTAATCTACCTTCTCTTTCTATGGACTTGCCTGTTCTGGACAATTCATGTAAGTGGAATAATACAATATATGACCTTTTGTGTCTGGCCTTTCACTTAGCATGATTTGCATGATTTTTAAAAATTGTGGTAAAATACACATAATATAAAATTTGCCATTTTAACTTTTTTTTTTTTTCGAGACAGAGTCTCACTCTGTTGCCCAGGCTGGAATGCAGTGGCGTGATCTCAGCTCACTGCAAGCTCTGCCACCTGGGTTCAAGAGATTCCCCTGCCTCAGCCTCTCGAGTAGCTGGGACTACAGGTGTGTGCCACCATGCCCGGCTAATTTTTGTAGTTTTAGTAGAGACAGGGTTTCCCCATCTTGGCCAGGCTGGTCTTGAACTCCTGATCTCATGATTTGCCTGCCTCAGCCTCCCAAAGTGCCAGGATTACAGGTGTGAGCCACCGTACCTGGCCAAACCTTTTTTTGTTGTTGTTTCTCAAAGTTGCCCAGGCTTGAGTGTTCTGGTGCTCTCATAGCTCATTGCAACCTCAAACTCCTGGACTCAAGCGATCCTTCCACCTTGGTCTCCCAAAGAGCTGAGACACACATGGCATGAGCCACTGTGCTTGGCCCCATGTTAACCATTTTGAGAAGACATTCCATTGACATTAAGTACATTCACATTGTTGTTCAATAATCAACATCATCCATTTCCAGAACTATTTTCATCTTCCCATACTGAAACTCTGGACCCAAGCATAATGTTTTTAAGGTTCATCCGTGTTGTATCACGTATCACTACTTTATTCCTTTTTACAGCTGAGTAAGGTAAGTGCGTTGTTTGGGTATATTGTCATTTTGTTCAGTTGATGGACATGAGTTGTTTCCACTTTTAGTTATTATGAACATTCACGTACAATGATTGAACATGTTTTCTTTTTTTTTCTTTTTTTTTTTTTTTTGAGACGCAGTTTCGCTCTTGTTGCACAGGCTGGAGTGCAATGCACGATCTAGGCTCACCACGACCTCCACCTCCCAGGTTCAGGGGATTCTCCTGCCTCAGCCTCCCGAGTAGCTGGGATTACAGGCACGTGCCACCACGCCTGGCTAAGTTTGTATTTTTGGTAGAGATTAGTTTCTCCGTGTTGGTCAGGCTGGTCTGGAACTCCCAACCTCAGGTGATCCGCCTGCCTTGGCCTCCTAAGTGCTGGGATTACAGGCATGAGCCACTACACCCGGCGTTTTTTTTAATAGAGACAGGGTCTTGCTCTCTCACCCAGGATTGGCTCACTGCAGCCTTGACCACCTGGGCTCAAGCAATCCTCCAATCTCAGCCTCCCAAGTAGTTGGGACTGCAGGCACCCACACCACGCCCAGCTAAGAAGAGGTTTTGCTATGTTGGCCAGGCTGGTCTCAAACTCCTGGACTCAAATGATCCACCCACCTCGGCCTCCCAAAGTGCTGGGATTGCAGGTGTGAGCCACTACACATGGCCATGTTTTCATTTCTGTTGGGTTAATACTCAAGAGAGGAATTGCTGTATCCTATCTGTTTAACTGGGGAACTACCAGATTGTTTCCTGAAATGTCTACACCATTTTTACATTCCTATCAGCAAGGTATTGATGCAGGATTTTTGTTGGCCACTTTGCCAACCAGGGAACTCCATGAATGGTGATGCCCTCCACCCGGGCCTCACTTGGCCTCGGACCTGCTGCAGGAGGCACCCCGCCCACTTGGTCTGCTGGCTGCACCTGATTTGCACACCAGCTCAGCCCGTGGCTGGACCGGGTGTGCCACAGCCCACCTGTGTTACAGCTCGTACATGCATTTGATGGTTCCCAAGTTCTTATCCTGAATCCAAGAAGGATGAGGTTATGCTGACAATCAAAAAGCAAGGATGATGAAGAAGAATTTTACTGAGTGATGGAACAGCTCTCGGCAGAGAGGGGACACGAGGGTGGTCCCCCACGTGATGTTGGTTCATCGCTCCCCCAGTCTGGCTGGGTCCAGGGCTTTTATGGGCTCAGAATGGGGAAGCGCATACTGATTGGTTTCTGAGTACGCAAAAAAGGTTAAAACAAAGGCACCAAAGTTGGGCACAACAGTGTAAAAAAACAATTAAGGAAGGGTAGATATATGTAAAATAGGTGAAGCGTGGGGATCAGAGGAAAGCACGCCAGACAGGAAGACCGGTTCTCAATCCAGTCTGTGGATTTACCTGGGACTTGTAGTTTGGCTTTCAGGCTTTAAACTCTCTTTGGTTTGAGAGTCGGGTTTCACCAGGAATCCACCCCTATCTGCCTAGGCATGTGACTGCCTCCTGCTATTCTCCCCTCTCAAGAGGTACATCTAATTGCCCTTAGGATAAAGACCATGATCACTCTTAACTGCTTCCTGCTGACAGGGGGCGCTGTTCTTGGAAAACGGCAGTCAGAGCTCGCTCAGAGGGCTATCTAAGGGTCCCTGGTAAAAGGGGCAATCGTCTGAGATTGCGGTTGGAGTTTGATGACCTCTAGGTGAGAAGAGACAAACCAGGTTATTAGAAGACATGAAGAAAAACAAAACATGGGGGTAAGGACAGCACAAAAATCCTGAGGCTGCCAACACACCCAGGTAACTTGTGGCTAGAGTTATGTCTGCTAAAATTTGGGTGCAAGGAGCTTGGCTTTGGTTAGCTTCCCTGGCCTTATTTTCCCAAAGAAACCTCCAGGTTATGGGCACCTCATTTACCCCTATCACCTGGCAGGATTTGCAGGATAGTTGCCCAGAACTAGAATATTGATCCAGATTTCTATATTACCCATCCCTTGTTTCTTCTGAGTTGCAGCCAGAGATCACTAGTTGGTTCACAGGAATAAACAGGGTTAGTCTAAAATACAGACAAAAACTTAAAAACAACTAATAAGACCAGAATTTAATGACAAGTGCGGTAAGTTTTGAAATAATTTTTCTCTCTCCAGCCCTCATTTTTGTTAAAAACAAAGAATAGGATTGTTTGCAAAATAAACTTTAGTCTTATACTAGCCCTGATTATTTGCATAAAGTACAGCAAGAATAATTATTTTTCACATATGCTTTTAAAATTGGCTCTAATGGAATTCTGTTCCATAAGGAATATCAGAAAAGACTTTTTAAAGTCAAGCCCAGCAATGGGTTTGTACCCTCAAATACCTACGAGTTGGGTAAATTCCTCTCTTCTTGAGGTCCCAAGATAACTTGGGGCTCCTGGACCTGTTAGAAAGTGACATTCTTTACTCATCATGAGGAAGGAGAGAGACACTCTCATATTGTTTTATATTGTTTTATACTCAGTACCTGTTTTAAGAAAAAAAAACAAGGAAGTAAAACCAAAGACAGGCAGCCCAGTGCCAGGCCCGAAACCAGGCCTGGGCCTGCCTGGGTTAAACCCAGTAGTTAAAAATCAACTCATAACTTAGAAACTGATGTTATTCATAGATTCCAGACATTGTATAGAAGCACACTGTGAAACTCCCTGCCCTGTTCTGTTTCTCTCTACCAGTGCATGAAACCCCCGTCACGTATCCCCTAGACTGCTCAATCAATCACAACCCTTTCATATGAAATCTTTAGTGTTGTGAGCCCTTAAAAGGGACAAAGACTGTGCACTTGGGGAACTTGGATTTTAAGGTAGTAGCTTGCAAACGCTCCCAGCTGAATAAAGCCCTTCCTTCTACAACTTGGTGTCTGAGAGGTTTTGTCTGTGGCTCGTCCTGCTGCAATCACAGGTGAGGAGCCCTGTACAAGGACTGTAGACAAGGTATGAGGCCAGTTTCTCCAAGAAATATTTTTTTGGCTCTGCAAGTCAAGCTTGATTCCTTAAAGGGAAGCACACCCTTCTATCAGAAACTGATAAAACAACCAGTTTCTCCAATTGTGTCCTGTTGCAAAAGAAAGTGGATTCTTGTTGCACTTACACAAGTAACTACATTGCCATAAGAATACTCACAAATAGTTTCCAAATTCTAGAGAAACCAGCAGAGGAACAAATACGCTCCAAATTTTTTTCACAGGAGTATACTTTACTCAATTGTTAAATGCTGTAAATAGTTCAAAATAAAAGTTTTCTTGACTCTGAAAAACAAAAGATCGGTAATGTTTTAAGCAAAAAATTAAACAGATTACCTGTTTTCTATTAGTTCAGCCCAGTTAACTCTTGTTCTGCCTGATAAATTCATGAATATTTCAGCTCTTCATGAGTCCTGAATATTTTTCCTTTATTCTAATATCACAATCTAAAGATATTGGAAATCTGCATTTAAGAGCACCTAAGTTCTATAGCTGATTACAAACCATCTTTTGAAGAGGATCAAAACAAGACTACGATTGTCTGTGAACGACAAGATGTCTTTAGACAGTCTCAGTCAAAAACACGATTGACAAATTGCATTATTTCTGTGGTTTACAATAACTTAACAAAATAATCCTAATTCAAATTGATATCATATACTCAGATGTTAGAATTTTAGAAATCTCATACAATTTTGGAACACATATTAATGTTATTCACTAAAATGTAACCTGAAGAAGATTAAACATTATTTTTATTTTGGCAATCCCATGTAATTAAACATGTCAAATAATCCAGGGGCCCTCTGTTGGCATCCAAAAGTTAGGGGTCAAAAAAGACAACCTTGAAGCTAAAGTTTGATTTGGGGAAGCCTACTGAACATGTTAAAGGTTTAAAACACTTGATACTATAAAATGGAATTCCAGGTTATCATTAGCCAAAATGATGACTCAAAAACTTTTTTTAAAGGCACAAAACCTTTACTCATTAAAAGGGAAGACAACTTTCCAAACAATTTGTCTCTTGCCTTTCCCTTCTTTTTTTGGTAGTTTATTTGCAAGGCAAACAAAAATCTTTCATTATCCTTTACTATTACATAAAACTCTTGTTCAAGACAGTCAAATTTCATCTTTGCATCAGTCTACTATTAATGTCATCCCCAATTTTTAGTAATACCTTATAGATAAATCTATCCAATCTTAACTAGTTTGAACATGAGGTGAGATTCTTGTAAACCTTTTATAACCCTTTACAAATTCTTGTTAAAGAGCAGACCAGTGCCTTAAGAAAACCTTGTTGTGCTTTTATTTCAAGGTTCAATTTACAGAAAAACCAAATAATATCCCTTTGAATTTAATCAGTATGTTCACACAGAGCATTTATTTTATAAGATTAATTTTTACAAACCATCCACAACTTGTTCAAACCTTTAGGTTTATCTTATCTAATTTCAAACAAACACCCAGCCTTAATTTATTAAAATTATGATTCGTAGACTTTCACCCAATTACATAAAATTAAATTCACTCTTGGTTGAGGAATAGAGAGAGGTAGCAGAGGATTAATCCAAATGATCCTGGGGTCCACTACCCTTCAAAGCCAGACCCTGGTGGGGCAAGTCCTGCCAAGTCATCAGGTGCTGATTAAACACAGAGGACTGGGTGGGAGGCAAATTCCTAAAATGTGGTTCTTTCCCAGAAACATCTTATAATCTAGTTCAGCGCCTCGCAGCTCCAACTCACACCAGAATCACCTGGGAGCTTCTGAAACCATTCCGACCCTGAACTCCACCCTAAATAAATCAAAACTCTTGGTCCACAAACTGAAGAAAAAAGTTTAATCTCCATGGGACATTCTAATGGGCAGCCAGAGAGGAGATCCACTGATCTAGGTTTTTCATATATCACTTAAAAATTTGCAAATTATAAAATATTTCATTAAAGTATGAAAATTTGAATCAGTTTGGGTTTTTTTTTGGGCGGGGGGTGGCAAAAGACCTTAAGGAAAAGATAAGATTGTAATTCAATTTCACAAATAATCCACAACTTAGTATAGTCTTTGATGGAAGCAACACGCCCGTCTTAGTCTGTTCAGGCTGCTATAACAAAATACCACAGTCAGTCGGGTGCGGTGGCTCATGCCTGTAATCCCAGCACTTTGGGAAGCCTAGGCAGGCGGATCACGAGGTCAGGAGATCCAGACCATCCTGGCTCACACGGTGAAACCCCGTCTCTACTAAAAACACAAAAAAATTAGCCGGGCGTGGTGGCGGGCGCCTGTAGTCCCAGCTACTCGGGAGGCTGAGGCAGGAGAATGGCGTGATCCCAGGAGGCAGAGCTTGCAGTGAGCCAAGATCGCGCCACTGCACTCCAGCCTGGGCGACAGAGCGAGACTCTGTCTCAAAAAAAAAAAAAAAATACCACAGTATGGGTGGCTTATAAACATCAAACATTTATTGCTCAGTCCTAGAAGCTGGGAAGTCCGTGATCAAAGTGCTGGTTGATGTGTGCTTGTGAAGGGTCTGCTTCCTCAGAGCCCACACCCCTTGAAGTCTCACACTGTGGAGAGGATGAGGTGTCTCTCTAGGACCTTTCATAAGGCACTGATCCCATTCATGAGGGCTCCACCCTCATAACCTCACACTTCCCAAAGGCCCCACCTTCTATCAACTTGAGGGTGAAGATTTCATCATATGAATTCTGGGGAGACATAGACATCCAGACTGTAGCACTCTCCCACCCCTTATCACCCACAATTCAGAACGGAAACGATGGTCTTCGACTTACTTGATGGACTTCATAGTTCTGCTTGGCCAATCTCAAATACTCTCATGTTTCCAATTATCTTTTGTTATCAGTAAACCAAACTGTTTTTTCTCCTAAAGATTCCCGTTACATTATTAATGATTTCTCCTTGATGTTTTAGGAGAAAATGAGCCTGGTGAAGTGGCTCACACCTGTAATCCCAGCACTTTGGGAGGTAGAAATGGGAGGATCACTGAGTCCAGGAGTTAGAGACCAGCCTGACAACATAGTGAGACTTCGCCTCTACAAAAAAATAGAAAGAATTAGCCAGGTGTGGTGGTGCACACCTGTAGTCCCAGCTACTTGGAAGGCTGAGGTGGGTGGATTGCTTGAGGCTGGGAGGTCGAGGCTGCAGTGAGCTGTGACCCAGCCTGGGCAAAAGAGTGAGACCCTGTCTCCAAAAAAAAAAATGTGTGTGTATATATATATATATATATATACACACACACACACAAACACACATATGTAAAAGAAAAACATGTATATAAAAGAAAATTAAGTATGAGACCAAACAAGGTTCAGCTTCGTTTGCTGTGACTTGAACAAGGCTGGTGACCTGTCGGTCTCATAGCAGAAAACACAACCCAGAGAAAAATCAACACTGCAGTTTTGTTTTTTTTTTTTAAAAAAGAAACCTTATAATTTAATTAACAAAATTCACATTGCACAAAAGTACAATGATAACTGTACACTTGTTTCTCTGCAAATGTCCCTTGGTAAATTACTGTCATCTTTTATAGGCAGGCATAACTGGACACACTTTACAATCTCTCTGATAAATATATCGCCACTTTGCATCCAGCTTGGATAACGCTCTTCAGGACGGCATAGGCTGGAGCCTGTTAAAAACAATAAGCAAACAAAGAAACATGTTTTGTGCTCATTTTTGGTTGTAAGATTCAGGGCTGGCAGGGCAGGCTTTGGATTTCTCGGGATAAAAAATAGATCTAAGGAACAATTTATTTTAGTTTCGAAGAAAGCTATTCAAAATGTTGGAATGCCTCTGCTACTGCCAAAGCATTGGAGTCATCCAGATTCTCACAGAAAAGGAAATGAAGCTCCTGGGAGGCCAAGGCGGGCAAATCATCTGAGATCAGGAGTTCGAGACCACCCTGGCCAAAAAAGCGAAAACTCGGTCTCTACTAAAAACAAAAAATACAAAAATTAGCCAGGCATGGCAGTGTGCACCTATAATCCCAGCTACTCGGGAGGCTGAGGCAGGAGAATTGCTTGAACCCGGAAGGCAGAGGCTGCAGTGAGCCAAGACTGC